GACAGCGCGTGCAGTGTATCATCCGAATGACTTACAACAAGATACAGCGAGGTCTATAAATATTTTAGCCAATATTGAAATTGGACAATCTTATCCTTCTTTTTTTTTTTTTGCAATTTATCTCTTCGTTGAAGAATGGTATATCTCAAGACGCGATTAATTTCTTTTTGAAGGAGAAACGGAGTTTGCGAAAGAATCATCATCTGATCAAAGTTGAGTAAAGTAAGATTTTTTAAATAAAGAAATACAATTAAGAAAATACTATAAGATGCAAGTAAAAAAATCTTGATCTTTTTCGTAAAAGAAAAAGACTAATATCTGTTGTGCACAATTAGTTATTACTATATACAGTTAGTTAGTTATTATTGTATTAATTAACCAGTATTTATTAAAAATTCATCTGTAAGAACTTAACACGCCATAATTAACTTTTGAATGGAAATTTGAAGCTAATAATAACAAACTAGATACACTTAAAACAGTATAATAATTTATACTGAAAGGCATAAAGGGTTAATAAAAAAAAAAAAGAATTTAATTTAGGTATGAATATCAATCAATACTTATGTATGCTTTACTAATGAAAAACAAGTTATTAATAAATGATGGTGTAATTTACGTAGCAATCAATAGTTTCATTTTACCCATATATCATGATAAATCTGGCTTTCAAATAACATTGAGATCATCTTTGAATCATGCAGTCTATACTCTGTGTTATATTATACTCAAGCGTTGTAACTCTGACAATTTATTCATTTCTTATAACCATATACAGCAGTGCTACTTTTTCCCTGTACTTGTTTCAATGTAGTAAAAGGAAGCTCGATAGTTTGGTTAAAATATTCTCAATCCCTTATGTACGAAATATTGCTGAATTAGGCTTATAGACACAGAGAACAACAACGGAGTACAATTCTAGTAGTGTATAGTATCGGTGATATTTTCAACTTTTTCAAACTACACCTTACTCTACAATGATGCACACGTGCATTTTATATGATGCAAGCATAAAATGATTTCTCAAATTGCACGACTAATATGTACCCTATTGATGATAAATTGCACTTGGTTTCCTACGTCAAACCAACCAGTACGCTATCTATTCCATGGCTATTATGGACACGACAAAATCATACTAGTAAAAATGGACACTATTTTTTTCAGAACAAGTAGATTGCTGGAAATAATAAATTAAAACGTAAATCTTCCAGTACGGGTCAAATACAGGTCACGATAATTCGGGATATATATATAGATATACACACGAGTTGTTTTTAAATATTCTTTGAAATGATTTTCAAATACTATTCAACACGATATGATTGTTTATATTGAGACAGTAAGAATGTAAAATATATACAGCACACTACGACACTAGATCAAAATGACCTGCGGTTTTGTATTAATGACGGGATATCCGAAGATTAATACAAAAAAAGAACATATTTCATAGATTTTAATAATTCAAATACTACAATTTCTGTTTCTCAAGTGAAGTAACTATAAAATGTTAGTATCTTATATTGCACGGAAAGCTCTAAAATAAGGCTTCGAATTATAAGGCCATGGAATCAGTCATTTCTCGACGGTTTATCAATTCGCTATGTCTTCGTCCTCTGAACACTCTCATACTTTACGTCACACGAGAAAAAACAATTTTTAAATTAACATACATGGATGTAGAATATTCCAGAAGCAAGAATTGCCATTGGCTACAGCGAAGCACGATTCCTTGCAAACCGCGTCAGAATCTTCTTTCTCCTTCCCAGAGGACAGAGGGCACGCCGGCTCCATTCTCATTATTCCCTAACCTTGTGTTTCAGTCGAATCAAGGACGACTCGCATTCGAGCACTACCCCAACAATCCGCGCTGTTAGCCGCAAACGACGCACTTTCTGCTATCAACTCCTTGCTTCTTTTCCCGTTTCTTTCACCCTTTAACTTTTCTTTTTTTCACTGATTTTATTCGTTGTTCACACTCGAGTGACTGGGTTCAGACTTGCTTCGTCTGCTATCAGTGCACGAAATAATTTCGAACGAGTTTACCAGAAGATAAATAATTGTTTTGTGCAATCTCGATGTTGCGATACCGTAACGACACACTATGCCTCGAGACGAGAACAGGACTGACTAGTATTATCGACCCGTGGACAGTTCCAGATATCCCCACCACGACGACGCGCCATTACTGCGCTCCTAGGGAAACAATAAGGTTTCAGGCGAAAAGTAACTAGTTACTTTCATCAACGATAGATGGCGCGTTCGACCGGCGACGTGCTAGTGAGTTTCAGCGAGAGACGTCAGATGGCGCGGAATTCAAAATATAACTAAGTTTGCTCGAACAGAAATTTGAAATTTTTAAAGGTAAATAAATTCAAGGAGAAAATATCTATATCTTTTCTTGAAAGAAATCAGCAAAATAAAGAATTACTATTTCTTTGTTTTTCGTAATTTTTCTTTAAGAACTCACAATTATTCTTCAACTAGAGTAATTTTTACATTTCGATCTGGAAAAGTATCTATGGCGACGTAATTAGTCTACGATCGCGTGTGAAATTTTTATTTCATTTCAAGCAGTCTGAAATGGTTGACAAGGAGAATACGACACCGGAATGATGTATAACGATCGGAAATAATTCATGAGTCAGGCGCGTGAGATTTTTCGTTCTGAAATCATGTGTAAAAATACCTTCTGGAGGAACGAAAAAGCCATTTCGGCATAAAAGAACTGCCTATACAAAATAATTTTCTATTAATACTTTTAATTTCACTATAAATTTAAACTGCCTAATGTTAAATGTAGTATCTGTTATTTGCAACATTTACTTTGTAAAATATATTTCGCAAACTATTTCCCCATGAGCTTGGCTGTTCCCATTGGTTCAATCGAAAGAGGTCGTAGGGTATCCCTGCTACGGATCAATATGGAGAGAAGAGATACGGGTTACTTCGATTCAGCATAGAAACCATGCACGCGAAATGTATACGTCTCTTTTTCCATGGTGCAGCATCTGTATAATTCCATTCAACTTTTATCTTTATCAAATGAAAATATAAATCAAAAATTCAATACAAAACATTTCATTTTCTTTTCTCCAATGACCTCTCAGTGATATTGTTCCATTTTTTAATAAAAATTAGATTCAACGTGAAAATGACACTGTGTTCGAAGACTATTATTATTTGAAATAAAAAACAATTACCACGCAAAAAAGCTAAAAATGTAACACGACCGAAATGTCACTCGACGCTTGTGCTCATAGATAATATCTTAATGACACATTGTAAATCTATATATATATATATATATATATATATATGTATGTATGTATGAATCGATAATTCGATATTTGGCGATTAACATTTTATTCGAAACAATTTTATAACAAATATTATTAATAGCTAATAGAACATTAATCTATTCTACTATGATTTACTGTTACTATAATATAACAAAAAATTATAATTGTAAAATAAAAAATAATGTTAATCTACTAAATTACTTGTAATAAAACGTTAATATGTGTAGTGAAAAAGCCATTGAAATTCTATATGTAAACTACATAAAAATTCAACCGCAAAATCTTTAATTACCATTATACTATATGCAAAGTAATTATAAGTATAAAGACGCTAGTATCACGCCTAAGTCATAATAATGATAAATAAAATACCAACACTCTGAGTGTCTTCAAATGACGTAATCGTATGCAATGAAAGGTGGTTACAGTATCACGTAAAAAATTGAAGTATTTTTTTCGTAAAATATATAATTTCTTGTTTCAATTTTTGTAATACATTCGTGATTAGTAATTTCTTAAATTCTTAGTATTGAATTTTGAATATTTGTTCATCTTTTCAAGCTATCGTAAAATTAAGAAAAATTCACAAACGATGGAAAATTTGGATTTCAGATGTCTCTTGTGAAGCTAGTAAAAGAATAAAGACATCTTTAAAAGGTACATAATGTACCCAGAATAACTAATCATATATTATTATGGCATAGAAACGTAATAACGTTGTAGCCAAGCGGAAGCGTGGCTCACTTCGTGCAAAGATGCTAAATTAATTAACGTTTCGTACTAATCGTTTATGCTTTCGAGACTTTGGAGGTCATGAAGACATCATCTTAGAACCGTTGATTACGAAATATTTTTCATACTAAACATAAATGTATTTGTACTTTTTTTACACTTTTCGTTCCTCTTTCGTTTCTCTTACTTTTTTTTCTCATTGGCATATATACTATGACATACTAATGCTTTATTCATATGTACGATGACCGGATAACAGGTCAGTTTGATTATGTTACTATTTATATTATTATAAAGCGTCTAACTCACCAATTCCCATGCTGCTGAAAATCTCTTTTGGAGCAATTTCCACTTCTTCCACTGGTTGTCTTCTTATTTCTTGTTTCATTGATTTGAAACTCTTCGCCGGCGATGCTTCCACTTCAGACTCAAATTCCGATTCTCCAGTTTCCACTGGTGCACTGATCCGTTCCTTTTTCTCTGCGTCAGTAAACACATACTCACTTACACTTTCTTCTTTTCTCCCTGATTTCGAGCTTGACTCTGAGGCAGATGTAGATTTATCAACGATGTTCCACGAATTATCCAGTTTTTTCTCAGTGGATAAAGCGACTTCTGGCTCGCGATTCGGAACTTTGGTCTCCTTAACTTCTTCTTTCTCCGCAACTTCTTGCTTATCGTCCTCCTTTTTAATTGGCTCGATCTTCATAATTTCCGACTGATCCTCTATTTTGCCCGACAACAAATCGAGCTCCGGTTCCTTCGATCTAACCTCAAAGTTGCTCTCCTCAACCGGTCTCCCTTTCTCCGACTCTAACAGCAACAATGTCGCTTTCTTGGAATCGTCCGGTTCGTTTGATGACTGATTTGAAGAAAAGTTGATCATATCTTGATCCATATCGAAATTGTTCTTCGCACTTTTGTCTACTTTCTCGGCTTCAAGATGGGATGATTGCCCATCCTGGACGTGTTCAAGATGCTCAAAATCATCCATCGAATCGTGCTCTCTCCTGATTGGTTGCTCCTTCAACTCGGCCATCTTTGCTGCACGCGAGGAGTGTTATCCTGTCATAGAATTTAACTTTTCTAATAGGACGCTTTCAATATGCCCTCGTTAATTTACTTTCTAGTGTATTTCTTGATGATATTGTTTCTTTGAAACTTCTTGGAGATTCTCAGAGTTACTAACAATTGGAACAATCTTTTAAAAAGTGTTATTTGCAACGTATAGTGTTGACGTTTCACTCCGTTTTCACCTTTTTTTTGCAATCTCACGTCCCTCGAATTCTTTAAAAATTAAAGGACTTAACAGCTTTGTTCCGTTACAATTTTTTTTATTTATTATCAAGTGATACACTACAGTTTGTTCAAACATTAACAGTAAGTTGCGGAAAATGAAAAACCGATTAACGTTCACTCTGCCACGGGTAGATTCGATTCTGAAGCATGTTCTCCGACAAAGTATCTCACAGGGTGTGCGTAAGAGGGTTTCCGCCCCCACTATTCCTATCCAGTAATGTACACATACTGGGTGACAAATTTAATGAACTCAGAGTATGCGTGAATTTTTAAAAATTCTACGTTTATATATTTGTCGCATGTTTCATTCGTTTGTAATCTTCCAAATGAAAGTAAGGATATAAAACGATGTATCTCTATTGGAAATTGCGGGACTATAGCACGTCGACATATAATACATTACGTATTGTTCATTTTTAAAAAATTTTAAAAAGATAAATTTTATATGATAATAATTCCAAAATAATAGTATTAAAACTGGGATCTGATAAATATCGTTCGCCCCTGACTTCGAACCAATGAGAATTAAGCTGGATTTCCCACCACGTAGGAACAAGGGATTGGAGGGGACCCATAGTTTAGGACAATGAATCACACTGAAAGACTGAACGTGTATAATAATCCTAGATGTGTCATATCTGTTAAATATTATTAATTAATAAAATAATATTAGTAAAACTATTGCGAGATAATGATTGTTGAAATATATTTTAAATATTTCTTTTTCTTTCAAATTTCTTTATGAATTCTTTAATTTTTGATCCCTTAAAAATTTTTTTTTAATTCTAGCTTCTTAATTGTTTAAAAATTTATTATTTTTAATGTTGTTTTAAATTAATCAATATTTATTTTGTTTTGTTTGCTGTATAAGATGTGTCATTTCAAGCATTTTGCGGTATTTAAAAGTATACACGTATTAAATTATGAATTATTTTTTAGAATATACATCAAAGATGATGTCTCAATATCATTTTTATCGCAAATATGCCAATTTAAGAATAAATATACTTATATTCTCTTATAAATAAGAATTTTAAGATTTTATGTTTTATCAATGTACGTCACATTTTTTAATCTATTACAATAAAATGTCGACAACATTTACAAAATAAATATACACAATCTATTCGTATATAGGCATTTCATTTATGTACTATCTATAAGTTATTGCGGATTTATTCGCGTATATATATATATATATATATCATGTATGAACGAGGTGCTAGTACGCATGCGCACAAGCGGTATATGCGTTAAAATGACGATTATATTGACAATTAACTCAAAATTTTAAAAAATATAAATTTAAATAGAAGTAAATTTTATGAATATTTTACGAAATATATTTTTCTTACAAAAACCAAATACACGTTATTGAAATTTTAAATACAGACATAAAACGAATAATTTACATAATAACATTAAAGAAAATTTACTTTAAATACATTTTTGTCTTCATTCGAATTATTCCAATTTGGTACACACACATACACACACACACACACATTAGGCACATCTTTTTTCATAATTTTCAATTATAAATCAGAAACATAGATGCATGTTCCTTAACATTAGTTTCATTCTTGGTAACTGTCAAAAAAAAAAGGAATGATTTAATTAACACGCACATTAATTTAATTGTTACCATTATCAATTGTACTAATCCTAGGAGTAAATATAATTTATCCTGTCTACGCATGCGCGTGTCCGTATATTCCTGCGTTATTCCTGTGTTTCTCTATAAATCGCGGTCACAGAAACAGCAGACTCAGTACGCATGCGCGACTAATATCGCGACGCGTGGCCTGAGCGTCAGTCTTTGCTCGTTCATCGCATCGTACTGACGCGTTTATTCTCTCTTTTTTTTTCTCTTTCTCTCTTTTCTCTCTGTCTCTCCTCTCTCTGGTCCTACGGCGTTCAGTGAAAGATTCGTCCTTTGCAAAATGGCGACGCAAGCTATCACCAGGAGAAAACTGAATGAACACGAGCAGAAAATAAGCAGGAACGGCTTAACCTTTCACGAAGACATTCTTGCCAACGGCCATGCTGGTTTACAAACCAATGGACGTGTACAGGTTAGATCGTCACCTGTCACGCGTTATTACTTTTATTTTATAATTCGTTGTATCTAACGAACTTTTTGACAACTAAAATCCGTTCAAATATTAGTGCAATTTGTAGGACAGTTAACATTTTTATCTATATTAATTTTCAATCACTTTATCTCGTGGAATGTAAACGAACTTCCTGTTAACGTAACGAATAAAAATTTGTCAATCGAACGTTAATTTTAAAGTTAACAAAAAAAAAAAAGTACGTAAAAGACGAAACCGAGATTCACAGTAGAAGCAATCGAAACACGCTTGATTGCATTTCAATTGTTTCTAATGTATATCCAGCAACTTTCAATTCAAGAAGTTCCAATTTAAAGCAGTCCCGTTTTCATGTGATGTTAACGCGGTATTGTGCTTCGCATTGCAATTTGTCTTCAAATTTACATTATAATTAATCTCTATTTAATCAAAAAATGTTTTATTTTTTTATTTAGCAATAGATTGTTGCACATTGCAGCAATACATTATTTATCGGAATGTCTACTCGCGTGATTCTTTTCGTCGTAAATGTTATATTAACGGCGGGAATTGAATCAATTACTAGGGAAATGAATCATGTTGCTTTTCAACCATTCCTTCGATCCAACTGCGGCGAAGTGCGATGAAAAAAAAACTAGTAACGGAGAATTGCAGAAATTTGTTTGAGTAATGATTATTCGAATGTGTACGTCAGTTCGACGATTGACGTGTTCACCGCATTTCTGACCCAATTCTTAATGAAAGCCGTCGCGTAAAAAACGAAATTATGATAAGTATCCGCAATGCTGATAAAAAATTCATTTCGAAATGCGACTATTACTCTTGATAGAGTTATTATCACCTGGATTATGTGATTATCACGCGAGGGCAATTGACGAGAGAACATTTACAATTATCAATACGATCTTTAATTATACGAGAAAATATACGAATTACTCGCTGTAAAATCACGACGGATGAAGAAATATCAAGTGCTGCCGCATGTTTTTATAAGTTCACAAAATTTCTTCGAGCCTGATCTCGAAATTCGAATGTTTGACAGCACAGCCTTGCAGAAATAATGTCAATTGGCAAGAGTTGCATTTGATCAATTAAAAGGTGTATATTGTATAGAACAAGTAACCGTAAATGAAGTACAGGTTGCATCAATAGATTTCTTATTGGTAAATTAAATAAAATACTAGTTGAAATTCGAAATATAACCTAAAACGTTTTATTTTATTTTCTCATTGCAATACACGCATGTATAAGCATTACGTTATGTGTTATTTATCAATGACAGTTTAGTGTTTCAGAATCATTAGTCCGATGTTTGAGTGTTATTAACTATTAATTTTTCGGTTATTGTTTTGTGCTTCGATTCCGATACATAGAATATCACTTTAAGTGGATTAATATAAGAAATTGTCAACGGTATTTATAACTTTGCCAGTGCTGTTATTAATCACACTATTTTTCGAAATAAATAGTTCAGCATTTTCCGAAATCATAAAATTTTTATTTTCTCTCTTTATTACGAAGAATAATTATACTAAACATTATTAGGAATATATACAACGCTTAAAATAAAATAAATATTTTATTATACATTGTGTGTATGTTTTAAATGTACTGTTATTTCGACTATCTTTGTGTGTCTATATAATTCGTCACGTAAAATTAGCTAAAAACGCGCCAAACTAAGTTATCTTTATATACACATGAATCATAGTTCTCTATCATGCCAGCGTGTTATCCTGCTCGTTTCAAAAATTCCTAAGTAACATTATCAATGATATCTTTCCAAGAATTTGGCTTATCTATCGTGACAAATTTATCTATAATAACTTGTTACAACCTCATTTTAATTTGACTTGAAACTTGCTTGTTTATGTTGTTTTAGAATGAATTTTGTACAATGTATGATGGAACAGTGTATCATGATGCGTATTCTGTTTCTCGATTTTTCTCAAACGCAATGGTTGAATTATTATGTGTGTGAATTACAAATCGGCTATGGATTTTTATGCATTTATAGAAAATTGAAGATACATAAAATATAAAAAAAAACAAGGTAATTGTTAAAATTGTAAAAACTATGGATATTTATGCAGGTAACATGTATCTAAATATGCAAACGTTAGTGACCTTACAACTTAATACTTAATGTGTATGTAGATCTAATCCTAGATCCTAAAATTTGTAAGAATGATCATTATAAAAAGTATCTTCGCCAATTACACGTTATATCCGTATAGAAACGATGTTAGAAGAATAGAATAGAAATTATAGTTTCTATCTATTCTGTGGAAATATGAAAGATATTGTACATAGCATTTTTGTACTCGTGTAAAATATTTCAAAATATTTGATTTTAACAGTTTTTATACAATTATAAGGACGCATCTATCATCAGGCAAATAATAATCTTTTATAATAACTATTTTTCACATTTCATCCATAATATCCATTATAGATCCATAATATCCATATCTTTTATAATATCTATTTGATCATATTATTCAAATTATTTAAATCTAATGATAATTTGTTTTTTTTTTTTACCTATTTGCAACCGAGGAAATGAAATATTCATGCTTTATTTTCACACAGCTAAATTAACGATGCAGTTTATAGCTATTTACACATATTATTAATATAACATGAAAATGACATTATCTGTAGTAAATTAATGATGAGCTAAGTTTACAGCTATTGCATATATTAATAATATAATATAAAAATGACGTCTGTAATTTCATCTAAAGTTTAAAGTAAAGTGATCCAGACATTATATTATAATAATGATTATAAAATATATTATAAAATGATCCAGACATTATATTATAATAATATAATATAAAAATGACGTTGTCTGTTTAAAGTAAAGTGATCCAGACATTATATCATATTAATGATTATAAAATATATTATAAAATGATCCAGACATTATATTATAATAATATAATATAAAAATGACGTTGTCTGTAATTTCATCTAAAGTTTAAAGTAAAGTGATTCAGACATGTATGTTCTACAATATATCTTTAAATATCTTAAATATACAAGTAATAAAAATTCTACAAAAATTTTTAGATACAATACCGTCAAACTATACTGATTTGTGTTTGACAAATATTGATCACTCATACTTGCTTCTCAACTGTTAAATATTATTTATTATCTGAAAGATATTTTCCATGTATCTGTCATCTAATATGCTTATTGCATGACTGGTGAATAACATTCTCATTGAATAATGAAAATTCGTAATTTCTAATTTCATAATCTATTTGTCAATTATAATTTGCTTACAATTAGAATCAATATTGGCAATCAATACATACTCTAAGAAAACAAGTATTGAACTAACAGTCTCAATACAATCAGTGTTATTGTTTGTATTTCTGAAACTGTTACTAATCATGAATACAAATTATGTTATATAATCTTACCATAAATTGATTATACGATCCCTATAACAGGAAGTTATAACTGTAAATCATCCATGTATTATGACTCATGTACTATGTATTTCAAAGAAAACTAATAACGAAATATGTATTGAATGTGTTCAGAAATAGTACACGATATAAGAAAATATATATTTGCGTAAATAATCGAAGTCTACGTATAATAATAAATAAACTTATAATAATAAATCTTTATTTAGATTGAAGGAATACTCACTTTTTTAATTATATCCATAGAGATATGAATTTTTATGATTTGTCTAATTATCAGTGAAAGTATTTTCAAAGTTGTGCGTGCATTTAGTTTCCAGAAGAAAGAACGAGAGCGGAGCCGGTAAAGTCAAGGTCAAAGGAATCGTTCGAAAGGATACCGTTTATCACTGCAGTGTTAACGCATCTAGGATTCTACATCCTTATGTTTTTGGGTTTTATAAACCAGTTGCTTTTCACCCCTAAAGTCGCACAAGAACACAATAGAGAGGTAAGAAGGTATTTAAATTGATTTCTAATAAAATCAAAAATTACCTTAACCAATGAGATCTTAATATCACTTAAATCTAATTAAATTAAGGAATCAACCAGTAAAATAACTTATGCGTAAATAAAATTACGGAAATGTTACTGAGAAAGGTGAAATCAAACGAGTTATTATTTTTTACAAAAAAAATGTTTCAAAACAATCAAATGGAATATTAGAATAATTGTAGAAGCCCGTTCTCTGTAATCGAAACAGAAATATTCATCATTCGTTTAATTTACATTTATTTACATATTTATTATACTACTCCTTTTTTACTTACGTATTTATACGACTTCTTAATTCAATTCTTCTTACTAATTTGCTTTACTTTATAAATAAAGTATATTATTACTTCAATCCCTTTGAGCTTCATAAAACTATAAACAAAGTTAAAAAAGATAATAACTTTTGAAGCTAAAAAATTACAATGAAACTTTGATAAAATTCAATAATACAAATTTATGAAAAATTGTAAGTAAAATGTTGCAAGGACTTCAAATTGATTTGATATGCTTACCCAAGAACTTTTTTTATCTAAAAAATTGTTAGTTCAGTTGTAAGACACTGTGTATGTACTACTGACTCAATTCAAATAAGCAAAGGTCTCAAACGAAAATCTATATCCCATTCTTTAAATAATATAAAGTACATATTTCCTGTTATTCTTGTAATGATAATAACTATTTATATTCTTGATTCAGTTAGAGTGATGAAATTTACAAACTTGAAAATTTCTACTACTTAAAAATCTTGATGGTCATTTTTCCGTTTCTATTCTCCTCTTTTCCATTGAATTTCCATTCCTCATTTCCATTGAAATAGTACATGGCTATTTTTTTTTTTTTTTTTTTTTTTT